CTGCTTTTTTAAAGGCTGACAATGCAGCTTTCTTTGTCATATCTTGACCTGCCTGAATAAAAAAAACAGATAATTAAATAACCAATAGCAAAAAAACTAATATTTATGTGTGTGTGTGTGTGTGTGTGTGTGTGTGTGTGTGTGTGTGTGTGTGTGTGTGTGTGTTTGAATTTGTTAAACAAATGCAAACTATGAAAAAAAGATCATTAAGGAGAACTTAATAAAAACTGGATAGAAATTGTTATTGTTTTGAAAAAAAAAAATTTAATCTTTTGTTATATTTTCTTGACAATTTCTATTTGATTGTTTTATAGAGAAAATTTTTATTTTGTTTCTGATGTAACTTGTTCAGTCTACACTTTTAACTTTTGCTTTATTCTTTCAAATGTTCTGCTCTATACTTTAGACTGCTATTTTTTATACTTTAGGAAAAAAAGAAAGCCTCATATTTTATATAATTTATTTTTTGTTATTCAACATTTTAAATTGATTTGTTTGATTAAATTTTGTATACATTATTTTGGTTATTAGGTTTAGTACCTAATTATTTTGTCATCTTTAATTAAGTTTAAATTCATTTAAATGTTTTAAATTTTTACTTTCTTGTAATGCAAATTATTGGCGCATTTCTAACTTAAGCATAATTTATTTTTAACAATGACATTATAATTTGTAAAAATATCAAACAACTAAAGAAATCCTATAACTCTTTTCTAAAGCCTTTTTTTAGCCAAAGACAAACTCTTCCAACTTTTTAACTACTTTTAACACAACTCCTTGATATGTATCATTGTATATAATGACACTAACAAATGAACCAATCATTAAGTTAGGCTGTAAATTATTTCTTGATACCAGAATAAATGAATTCAAATACAGGTTTATTCATCTACTGGTAAATCAAACCGAAATATCTATATATATCTATATAATCTATATATATCTATATATCTATATATATATATATATATATATATATATATATATATATATATATATATATATATATATATATATATATATATATATATATATATATATATCTATATCTATATATATATATATATATATATATATATATATATATATATATATATATATATATATATATATATATATATATATATATATATATATATATATATATATATATATATCTATATCTATATCTATATCTATATCTATATATATATATATATATATATATATATATATATATATATATATATATATATATTGTGTTTTATAATTTATATAAACATACATGCATACACAAAAACACACACACATATATATATATAAAGTTAAAAATTAATATTATCAAACCGTACCACTTTAATCATACTTTTCTCTTCAAATGTTCCATGTACATCGGTAGCCATTTCCATAGCAAGAATTTCTACTGCTTTGTTATGTAAGCTGTGTTTATTCAAAAATGTTTCACTGCATATAATAGCTGCAGCCCCTCCATCTGAAGTTGGACTAAATGTATAAGTATATAGCTTAAAAAATACTTCCCCTGTTTTAACATACTAATAGAAAACTTGTGAACATACACAAAAAATAAGTATTTCAAGAAAGTAAAAAAAAAAAAACACACTTTAAAACCTTGACATAGTCATAATAAATGTTGGTTATTGCAAGTTGTTAGTTGTGTGACATTGTGTGGCAAGTTGTTAGTTGTGTGTTTTATTTTATCATTATTAATCATAATAAATATTTGATAAATCAAAATAATAGTCATAATTACAACAAAAACAATAATAACAAAAATAATAATAAATAATACAATACTTAATATGTAAAAAAAAATTTTTAAGCTCACAATGAATATTTTATTTTTTCCTGTGCTAATGAATATGTATAAATAGTTTACAAAATGTCCAGATAACACAAGATAATTATTTCTTCTGCTATTGAATCATATTTGATTGAGGCTAAAGATATAAAACTAAGTAGATGTACAAAGAAAAAAACATTTCAAATAACTTTGTTTCATACTTGTCACAGATACTACTTGTACTGTTTTATCTAATAGAGATGTGATAAATTCCTATTAGATACAAAAAAACTATGCACAATGGGCTGAAAAACAAATATGGTTCAAAACCTAATCCTACCAAAATGCATTTAAACTAAAATGCTATTTAACTGGATTGTGCCAACTCAGAACTTTTAAGCAAACAATAAAATCTTAAACTGTATGTTAATCCAAATTATTAGACAGTAATTTGTTCATATTTTTTACACATGAAGATGTGTTCATTTAAGCAATATTTCTAGAAATTAAAAAAAGAAAGAAAATAAAATCAATTTTTGACCTCTCTATCTTCTTCCTATTTTTTTATTTTTATATTTCTTTGACTATATTTCTATTTTTATATCTTCTTCTTCCTATTTTTGTTTAATTTCAAATATTTGCTTTAATTTAATTTTTATCAATTAAATTTCTATTATAAAAAAATAACATTGCAGCAATTTTATTTTAAAATCAAGAAATTTCAATAGTTAGGATTATAACTGTGCTTCTCTCCAGTGTCTCTATTGAAAAATCTCTTATGTCTATAGCCTTTATACCAACACACTGATAGTAAGCAAAATTGGTTAAGCAAGGCAAGGCTAGGGTTTAACTAAATTTTAAGGGATTTATAACCCAAAATAAAACCATCATCTCTAAGTTTTTTTACTTTCACCTATCTTTTACTCTTGAAAGTGCTACCTTTTTGCATACCCAAATATAGACTAGTTCACTAGACTAGACTTACTAAGTAAGCAAAGAGACAAAGTCTCTACTTAAAGACAAAATCATTTTTATCAAAAGATAAAAATTGTTTTAAAATGTGAATAAAAAATGTTATCATTTCTTGTGTTAATTTCTATTTTCTTTGTGATTGATATAATTATGTTATCTTTATTATCAATCAACCACATAACGCTTTTAATTTTTTAATCAAACCATATGAATATAGCTGTTTTGCTCACTAGATAATTGCAAAATAGTTACTATAGCAACATGAGAAAAAGAACCAAAGCTTTTTTAAGAGGCTAAAAAAATTTTCTGTTTACATTCTGATAGTGAAAAACTTTTTAAAAAAATATTAAAAAGTAAACACAAAAAAAAAGAAATAACTCTTACCAACACTGAAGTTTGGTTAACGGATGGTGAACTTCACCAGATTGCAATATCTGGTCTAATGTGTATTCATCACAAAATTGAGAACGCCTAAAAATAATTTGAAAAAGTATATTAGACATAATGAAAAAACCAAAAATTTATTTAGAAAATTTTTCACAAATGTTATAACAAATCTTTACACTAGTCAAACTTACTTATTCTTTACTGAGTGTCGATGGTTCTTTAGGGCAATTTTTGCAAAATGTTCTTTTGTTGTTCCTGTTATTTACAATGAAGTGTAATAAATTTCACACCCAAAAAGATTTTATTAGTCGAAATAATTTTTCTTTTTAATATTTTAAATATAAATAGCAAAATGATTTGTAATAAACTTATTTTTATTTGAAAAAAAAAAATCTTTATTCTTGTTATTCTTACAAATGATACTTATTACAACAACAACAATATCAACAACAATAACAACAACAAATATAAATTTACTGATGACTTTAATTTTATTTTAGTTAGTAAATCAAAATTGAAATTATTAGCAAATTATTTTTAACAATACGAGTAAATCAAATTTTATAAATTATAACTAAATTTTTATCAGATTGAAAAAAACGAACAAACAAATTAACTTTAAATGCAACTAATAATTAGCAATTATACAGAACTTAAAATAAAATATTCAATTTTACTATTTATTTAATGTAAATAGATAATTACTTATTGAATATGAAAGTACTCAATTATTGTTGAATACTTTTAAAATATAGATGAGAATCTTTCAAAATTTACTTTGACCAAATACTTTTTTTTATATAATATGAGCAAACTAAATATTATGAATATAAAAAGTTTTCAGTTTTCAACTTACCATATTTTTCCATGTGTTCCCTTCCAGCATTTCCAAAAATTTGAGCAGCAAATGGTGAAGCTCCAAGTCCATATATAGAGTCTAATACTTCAAGATGTTTGTCTAGAGGAATTGTACGATCCAAATACTTAACATAAAAAAATATACATTTTCATTTAATATTATGCAAGGGAATCTTTAAAATAAATTAAAAAAACACCTTTGAACCGAGTGAGCCACGTTCCATCTTCTCAAAGCCAACTGCTAAAACACAATCAGCTGTACCTAAATGCAAAACAATAACACACTCAATATAATTAATAAAAAACTATTGTTTTTGGATTAAAATAAACTTTTTAACACTTTTAGAATTTATTCATACTAATGTTGTTGTTGTTGTTGTTGTTTTTCTTTTTAATTAAATAATATGACATCAGAACTGGAAAATGACACAACATGACAATAACACAATGTGATAATTATACAACATCATATGACACTTTATTTAATCATTACTTAAATTGTTAAATTGAATCGAATGTTGATTATAATTTGATTATAATCAAATTATAATAAACATAATTTTATTATACTTATTGTTGCTGCTTATAATTATTCAACTGATTTCGTGTTTTTTGTGTCATCTTTATATTTAGATATATCATTTTGTTTGTTTTTTCTTTTTTTTTAATCATCCTTCGGAAAATATCTTATTCAAGGCTGTGTCTATTTCTAAATTTCTGTTTGATAATTAAAATATAATCCTTTTTCTAATTAAAGTGCAAAGTGACTTTGTATAGAATGTTAAATATGACACCAACATGAAACATTTCTATTTTCACTTGAGGCAAATAATATCAATTATAAAATAATACAACTTTAATTAGAAATAAATAAGCAGTAAATTTTCTTTTTTTGAAATAAAATTTTAAAAAGACACTTATTTATATAAAAAGTAACCATTATAGTGATAAGAAAAGCATTAGCACCCCCCCACAGAGTTTTTCAATGTTTTAGATATATACCAATATATATGAGATGTTGAAGGTAATTAAGAAAAAAAAAGAGTTTTTCTTATTTTATATTTTAAAGAGAAACTTTATAATTAACACTGTGTTATTAATACTAATAATTTCAAATAAGTAACAAACCTAATCAAAAAATAAAACACAGAAACAATAAAATATAAATACTTTATGCTACTCATGTTTCATTATACAACTTTAACACATTAACTGATATGTATGTTGGTTCTTTATTTTTCTATGCTATTTTTATATATTATTCAGATTATTGATATTATTCTGTAAAAAGATTTTCTTTAAAACCAATTATAAGATATGGGCATTATTAACTCTAAATCCACACTGTTCTCGGAATTGTCCAAAACTATCTAAAAGAGAAATGAGAAAGTTTGGTCATGGGTATATCAAAGAATTTGTTGATAGAATTCTTAATGTCAGTGTAACTAAAGCCATATTATGCTATGCATTTTCTGAATCAAATGATAAAAAAAAACTATTTTACTATTAGGGGAGACGATGGGTACTTATTTAAAACATTTTTGTAAATTTAATGTAGCTGAGTTAAGTTATAAAAAAACATTGCAGCAAATCTTTTTTTTGTAACTATTTGTTATAGGTAAAATTTATGACAATTTATCTTTAATTTTTTTTTTTTTTGTAACTATTTGTTATAGGTAAAATTTATGACAATTTATCTTTTTTTTTATTTTTTTTTGTAACTATTTGTTATAGGTAAAATTTATGACAAATTATCTTTAATTTTTTCTAAAGATTTTTATTCACTTTTTTTTTGATAATGTTAAAGCATTAATAGTAAAACAAAAGAAATAAAACAAACTATAACAACTTATAAAACAAAATTAAAAAATTACCTCCTTCTATTAATTGTTTGGCCATTAAAAGAGCTGAAGATCCGGTAGAACAATTATTGTTTACCTAAAAAATATACTGAATAAAATGATTATAGGTTATCAAACTTATTTTATTAATATTTTATAAAGACAACACTTTTACATATACATTAGCGTGCAAAAGTTTAGAAAAAAAACTTTTTAAACTTTTTTTGTTTGTTTTTAATGCATAACTTTTCAAACTTTATCAAATAAATGTGCCTTATATTATTCAATTCAAAATAAAAAATCACAAAAATTTTAAAATTTGACTGTTAATTTAAATTAAATTGTTTTTTGAAAAGATTCCGGTGCAAAATTTTAGAAACAACTAAATTTTGATATTTTTTAAAAAAAGCTAAAACCTAGATAAAAACTCATAAAATTAAAATTGTTAACAATCAGTACTTAAATAAAATAAAAGTTTTTTAAAAAAATTTTTTCTCACTTAATACATCAATCCTGAAACATGCCCCATTTGAAAAAAGATATAATATCAAATTTGTAAGATATTGGAAAACTTTAGAATTTTTTTGAAGAATATATATTTTAGCAGCTTAGCATCACTCGTAGAAATGGCTTATTAAGGTTAGAAAATATGTGATTTTTTACCGCATTTTACAAAACCTAGCACTCAAATCTGCTTCTTTGTTATTAGTTTTACTATGTTTTAGATGACATAATCTGAAAGAACAAAAATTGTTAAAAATATTTAATATATATAATTTTATTTGCCTTTTTTTTGCTTTACAATTTTTCATTTTCTTGAAAAGATTGAACAGGTCAATTGGACAAATACAAGAGCAGTATTTTTAATAACTGTCAAGTATGTCAAAAGCCATTTTTCTGCACATCTTTCATTATAAAAATAATCAAACTAACTCTAAAATCACAAAACCTTGATTTAAAATATTGCAAGTTATCTTGTCTGTCACACTCCTTTCATTGGCTTTTTTATCAACACTGCATTTTAAAATCCACTTATTTAACTATAAAAGTTAATAAGTGTTAAAAATTACAAACTTACTTAAAATTTACAAAACTAGGTTTAGTGCCACTCATATAGTTAAACCAGGGGACACCTTAAAAAATTAATACAAAAATAAATACTTTTAACATATTACAAATCCAAATTACACTTCTGATGGAAGCAAAACTACAGTATGCACTAATTAAGCATGCAAGTGGTCAGGAATGTTTAACTATCTTGCACCACTAACCCTGAAATCCACTACTGACGCTATCAAAACATCAAACCAAATTATCCTAGAGAAATTTAATGCACAACATTTACAATAGCTTTAGCTACCCAGATGGACCAATTGAGACTATCAGTTGATTCTCATAAAAATCAACCTCACATGTCCAATAAAATTCAATACACAATAAAAACTGTATTTTAATTAGACTCAAAAATGCACTACTTTAAATAGGCTGAACTTTTAAACAACTGACTAAAAAAATATACTTTCCTTATTTTTTTAATTATTTCTTTTTTAATTGTATTAATTGTTTACCCCTCTAAAAAACCTATAGTTGCAAAACAAAAACTTTGATGAAAAAGATTTCACTGTGTGAAGAAACTAGTTGAGTACTTTTAGAGATATTTAGAGATATAGTGTGCTTTGAATGGCAGGATTTTAAGTTAACTGGCCAGTATAATTATGAAGCAATAAACAACTCAACCAAAAATAAATGCCTAAAAAGTTCTTAAAACAATAAATAACTCAACCATTAAAAAATGCCATAAAAACAAATAAATCATAAATAAAACAATTTAAGTAATTAAGAAGATTATTTTTATTGCATTTTTACTACAAAAAAAAACATAAGTTCCTTTACTTAAATATTAAAATATAAGTTAAAAAAACAATATAATAAGAATTTAAAATATAAACATTTAAATAAAAATAGAAACATTAAAACAAACAATAAAATATTTAAAATACCAACAATTAAATAAAAATACAAACATTAAAATAAAAAATAAAGACAAAATTTAAAATACAAACATTTAAAATAGGAATTCCTGTCAACCCAAACTGATATAAAGCTCTTTGCCCACAGGTTGAATCACCTGAATAACATAAAAATAAAAAAAACATAATAACATAAGGTCAAGTTGCATATATAAAACACATTTTTCAATATAAGAAACCTATTAAACTTCTTATTTTTAAGTGTTTTTCTCCCAGTACTAAAAATTTAGGAGTTTTTTAATTTAAAAATTATCTAAAGAAAAAGAGTAAAATACAAATTGAAAACAAAGGAGAGTCAATGTTTGACATTTTTACTGATGCTTAAATGATGTTTTAATAAAGTTGTCTACTCATTCATTGTTGCAAATTCTAGTGTCTATTCATTCATTTATTGTACTGAAATAAATATGACTGAGTTAAAATACTAAATTATTTGAATTTCTTGATATTTTTTGTTTGAAATTGCAGTTGAATTATTATTGTCGTCTCTATTTAATTTTTTTGTTTTTTGTTTCATTTAATTGATTTGTTACTTTTTTGTTTCATTTAATTGATTTGTTACTTTTTTTCTACCATTCAATTGCACTTGCAAATTAAATACTTATTCTGTTGCTCTCCCTTGCAAATAATAGTAGATAACATTGCTAAACCTCATTTCAATTTTAATTCATTGCTATTTCATTTTTATTGATTGCTAAACCTCAATTCAACTTTTGTACACCAAGAAACAATGTTGAATCAATGTATATGAAGGGGGAACAAAAAATTAAAAAATTCATAAAAAAAAATGGTGCAAAAATGACAAAAAATAATTTAACAAGCTTGTTGATTATTTTGACAATAATCCTTAATAAGCAACCATTAGAAAAAAGATTTGAGAAAAAAAAAAAAAACTGATATCTATAAAGAAACCTTTAATTCTTAATTCATATTTCAGCACTTGGAAACTTATTTTCAACAAAAAAATAAATTAATAACTATACCATAAACATATCCACATACAGCTTGTTGAATCTCATTATAAGTTATTCCAGCATCATTAAGTGCTTGTGTTACTAGAAAAACACAATTTTAAATAACTAATAAAAAAATAACAATAATAAATAAAAAAGTTTGAAATTAATTATGATTGGGGTATTTTTCATGATTTTTTTCAATTTATGATAAAACACAACAAATAAACAAAGAAAATTTGTAAATATGGAGAAACTTTGTTACAAAAGAACAAATTTTGTTACAGAAGGACACATTAAAACCAAATCCTTTTCAAGTCATCAAGTTCAAAACCTTATTCTTTTGTTTCAGTAAAAAAAAACAATTTTCATACTTGTTTAAACTAAATTTGTTTTAATGGAAACTTGCTGTTAACATAACAACTTGCCCTGTCAGCATTACTCAACTAAAATCAGAATGCAGCAATTACAAAAAAAGATAACCTGCTTCTTTAACCATTACGGGATAATCAAAATCTTTTCTTGCACCAGGTTTCTCAAACTATTTATATTATAAAATTTATATATTAGCAATAAATATTAATAAGGGTCGCTCTTAAAATAACATTATACCAGCTAATAATCCAATAATAATAATATAATTATATAATAATAATAATTACTATTATTACATTAGTTATAAGATCGATAAAATTAGACACATTTTCCTTTTATATTCTATATGACATAATAACAGTTAAAAAAATATTTGAATAACAATATTTTTTTTTAATTTAAATGAAAATCATTCCTTAATATAATCAAAAAAAAAAAGTTTTTTTCAAGTACATCATATTGCGTCTCAAATGAAGCAAAATTATATAATAAAATTAAAAAAATGATAGGGTCTTCCCCTATCTAATTTTAAGCAATTTTTAACTTCCATAATTCATAACTTTGAAGCCATAGCATGTAAACTTTGGGTTTTCGGAGAAAAAATCTCAATTATTAATTTTTATTAATCATTTTTGAGCAAAATTATCTTTTGAATATTTTTAAAGAAGACAAAATAGTCTTATTGGCAATCTCCCAGAAGTTTAATATAAATAAAAGTTAATATAAGTAGAAAATTATTCTAATAATTTATTTATTTTTGTAGATTACTATCTTTATTGCAGGTTTTTTAAATCTGCAATAAACATTTTTTGAACCATCTGTTAAACTATTAAACAGCCAATAAAACCTTTAATAGTTTATGATGACTAACATTAACCCTTTTTATTTGTTTAATCTATACAAAAAATATATATAAATATATATTTTAGAATTTTACTTTTAGGCTTTAAAAAACAATTTAAAAAAAAAGTTACCTTGGTCATACCAACTCCACATACAAACACTCTTTTTGTTGAAGATGACATAATGGCAGTAACTTTTAAAAGTTTAATTTAATTGAGAATAATAATAATTAATAATTTAGTTGAGAATTTAAAAAAATATTAAGTTAAAAAAAGAACAAAAATTGTATACTTTTTTTACTCTTAAATTTTAGGCTAATCACTCATAAAAAGTCTTTTATAAAACTTTTAAGCTAAACACTATTAAAAAGTCTTACACCTTCAAGAGGAAAAACTAGATATATACACTAATTGTAGGATTACATTAAATTTTATCATTTAATATATACATTACATTAATTTTGGAAGTATATTAAATTTTATCATTTGAAAAACTGCAAAAATAATTTAATTTTATGCATTAGTGGTGTAGTGGTAGAGCCTCATAAGCGAGAAGTTTCGAGTTCGATCCCCACCATCCCCTTGGTAGTACAGTGGTCAATTTGTTTGTCTGCGCAGTGACCTTGGTTGTCAAGGTTTGTATTTAGGAGTTTTTGAGTTGAGAGAGTGTTGTAGTCACAAATAAAGTAGTATCCTTGTAGTGGCCTTCTCAGGAGGCAAATTCAATTTTAAAAATTTGAAAAATTTAATTTTCCTTAATTATTAGCATTTGTTTTTATACTAATGCATACTTAGATAAGCAGTCTGACGTCATTATGAAATAGCCAGCTGCTGGGGTTTTAGTGCATACACCAACTGACTATATAGAGATGACATGCAAGGAACGATGCTACATAGAAGGTATTGGATTGGGGCAGCAATCTTTTTTTTCAATATTCTTTTTCTGAATTAAGAAAAAGTCGTAAATAAAGTAGACAATAACAGTTGACAAATATATACCAATATACACTATAGTATATATATATATATATATATATATATATATATATATATATATATATATATATAGAGAGAGAGAGAGAGAGAGAGAGAGAGAGAGAGAGAGAGAAAGAGAGAGAGAGAGAAAGAGAGAGAATAAAATATGATATAAAATGATATAAAACCCTATTATCCCTTATATATTACTTATATATTATATTTATATACAAATATATATTACCCCCTTGTAATTTTCAATACTATAAATAGCATACATTTGCATAATATACAAATATAATAATACACTCTGTTTGTATGTCATACAAACATAATGTAAAATTAACAAAAAAGAAAAATTAGTTTGCCAACAATTAAATTACTTTTATAAAGTAAAGTTTTATTCATGTACATTTGTAATATAATGTTTCATTATCTATTCTTAAATAGCATAATATAATGTTTCATTTATAAAAACACAACTACTTCTAGAACTCCACAAGATTGCAAATATCTTGCAAATCTCTAGATAATGGATAGTCAATAAATCCAATTATGACATAATGTTCAAAAAACTAATCAGCATGATGACCATCAGATTTGCCACGCCCTCCACGACCACCTCGTGTACCACGTCCACCTCTGCCTCCTCTTCCACCACGAGGTGCTCCACGACCTATAAAAAAAAGATATATTTAATTAAAAAAAGATATATATAATTAAACTATTATAAAATTATTAATTTAACATAATAGAATTTTAATTTAGAATAATTTTTGTAATTTGAACAATGCAACAAAAAAAGGCGTTCTTAATTTTTTTTAAATTTTTTTCCTTGCTTTTTATTACTAATTGATTGTTATTTTAAAAAGAAATCAAGTCTAGCTGCAGAAAATATGAAATTTTATTATTTGATGATGATATTAAGTTATTGATAGTTTATTTTTAACACACAAAAAAAATAAAATAATTGAAACTAAATATTTAAACTAGAAGACCACTGTTTCATAAAATGCCACAACAAAAAAAAAATTTTTCTTGATAACTCAATTAAAAAAATGTGCTAATGTTATCATTACCACATTTTTTCTATTGAGTTATAGTTTATTAAATGTGATAAACAGGTTACTAAGGTTACCAATATTTATTCATTGCAATGGCTTCTTAAATGATTGCAAAATTTTAGTAGATTTCTTGAAAAGAGTTAATTAAAAAAATTTAACAAGAAAAAAAAAAAACAATGTGAAAAATGTTATTAAATAAAAAAACAAAAAATAAAATAAAATTAGAACTTTAATCATTTAAATAAAAAGCAAAAACTTTGAAGTGAAACAAAAGATGTGTAAAAAATGAATGTGTCATCAAAGACACCAATATGTATCAACTAAAAATAATATTATTTTATTTGCTTTTTAAAAATATTTCAGTCTAAAATATTTAATATGTTTGAATTATGTTTCAAAATATACATATTGATATTTGTAAAAACTTTTAAAGAAGGTGTTATCATTATGCTCTTAGTTAATGAAAAAAATTTCTTAAAAGAAAATTTTTAACTTAGAATTTTTTATTTTTAACATTTGTTTTTAGTCATTTAAATTTTAACTTATAAACACTCATTAGGTTTTAATTAGGTGACAATAATATCAAATGCTATTTAACTTATAAACACTCATAAAGCATAATATATTTATAATATATAATATATATATAAATTTATTTTTATACATAATATATAAATTTATTTGTCTTCACCGACTTCACTCCATTTCTTAAAATAAATATCATTTACAATTGTTTAAGGTTGCTAAAAAAAGGCACCACAGACGCCCATGAATTTTCTAGTTAAGGAATAATAACATAATAAAGTAAAAAATTTAAATAAAAAAAAACTTAACAAAGATCAACAAATATAAAATATTACCACGAACAGCTTGAGACTTTTGTTTATTTCTCTGAATGTCTTCTTTCACCATGTCAATAACCTATGAACATATATATATATATATATATATATATATATATATATATATATATATATATATATATATATATATATATATATATATATATATATATATATATATATATATATATATATATATATATACAAGGGTTGAATTAACGCATCGCGATTTGCGATATCTGTTAAATTATCTGGTCTTCAAAGTTTCAGTTTATGGAAAACCACGAAATTTACGGAATAGGCGAATAAACTTTAATTTGTTAGTGAAAATGTTATGAAAAACAAAACAATAAATTTATGACTACAAAAGTAATAATACTAAAGTGTTGTTACTTTTATAACACTCTTTTATGTTAAATTTATAGTTTATTGTTTGATCAAACAACACATAATCAAGCTATTATAAATAAAAATGATTTAGTTAAGTAATTCCAAACTTTAATTAAAGTAGTAATGCATCTAGAAAAAATACTGGATATTTAAACAATGTTAAAAACCTCAGCAACTTTTACGAATACATATTTTTATAAACAGTTTAGCATTTCTAAACATCTTACAAACGGTCCAAAAAAAACGCGCGTTCACTTTAAAATCAACCAATGAAAACACTGGTAATTTACTTCTTAGGAGAAATCTATATTAAAAGGGGAGGGGGAGGAGGCTAAACCTTAAATTTTGTTTAATTATTTAATCAATTAAATCATAATAAAAGTAAAGACAAAAAAATATATTTCAAAATATACTTCTTTATAACTAAAATTTATTAATTTGAACACCTCTGTTTTTAGTTTTAAGTAAATGTCAGTACTACTCTCAGTGGCGAAACTGCGGGGGGGGAGGGGAGGGGTTAGCAGACAAAAAGTGTCCTATTTTTAAAAACTAATTTTAGGATGCATGGTTGATATGGGGCTCATTTTGAAAGTCGTGCGGGGGGGGGGGGGGGGGATTTTGCTACTGACTACTCTAATGTGCTTAATACAAAAGTAGGTGGGGGTGGGAATTTTGGTCAGGATGTATAAAATGGGAGGAGGAAATAATAAAAAAAAGCGGTAGGATTTACAATGAAAGTTTTATTATTTATCGGTTACCAATATATATTTTTTTTAATTTTAAGGCCAATTTCCACTGAATTTTTGTTTTGAGATATAGTTTTTTGTTTATAAGTGACTTGTTATAAACAAATAACACGATTTTCAAAATGAGCCCCATATCGACCATGCAACCTAAAATTAGTTTAAAAATAGAACACTTTTTGTCTGTTAACCCCCTTTAACCTCTCCACCTTTACCTAATGCACGATAAAATCTATCGGTTATTACTGTTAGCAAATCAGCCGTAAAACGAAAAGATCGAAATCCATATTGATAATCAGAAAGTAGGTTATGAGATTTGAGATTAAGTGTTTGTTAATTAAAGATTCAAAAACCTTGTTTATGATAGGAAGAAGACTAATGGGGCGGTAGTTATATGAATAGGATCGCTCTCCAATTTTTAAAAATAGGGATAACAGATGCTGCTTTCCAGCAGGCTGGAAAACAAGACTCTGATAAGCACTTGTTAAATCGTTTTGAAAGGATAGACGACAGCTCCGGAGAACACTTCTGCTCCGGAGAACACTTCTCGTCTCACTTCTGCTCCGGAGAACACTTCTCACTTCTGCTCCAGAGAACACTTCTCCGGAGAACACTTCTCTCCGGAGAACACTTTAGCTCTGGAGAACACTTCTCCAGAGAACACTTCTGTTCTTACTGATACTTGTAGTCTGTTCTTGTGAATCTTCAGGCTCTTGTAATTCTGCGTCAGATTTAGATTCGAAAGTTGATGTTGCTGTTGCTGTTATTATTGTTGAAAAAAAGGATATCCTTTCCATGTTGAAAAAAAGGATATCCTGCTTTTGGATGTATAGTTTTTGAACTTACTAGTTGTATACCTGTCCTTTCCTTTCAATCTGAAGATGATACAATCTTTTCTTGAGATGTCAAAAACTTTATTCAATGGATCGTATTTTCGTATTTTTTTTTATATTTGCACATGTGCTAGTAGGACTTGAACTGATAAATGTGAAAATTTTTATTTCTTTTGGCATAAACTTGATACTTCAATCTCAATTTGTTCTCTCAGTGTGTTCTCGTCTCTTTTGATGGGTTCTCCCAAGAACAAATAGAGAATAACAATACGGGTTTTGAGTGGTATTCTGCTGTTATCTTCCAGTGATTCTTCTTTTTGTGGAACAGTTCTTCTTTTCATTTGTTACTCATAAAATCGTACAAGATTCTTCATCCAGATGGTCTTCTTTCAGTAGTGAAAGTGCTTTTCTTATAGGACAATATATTTCTGAAAGGCAATAATAGTGAATATAAGTTTCTATACTTTTCTTTAAATATCATTGCTAATGTATATTATTTGACTGCTATCATAACATAAGACATTATCTGGCTAAAACCTCAGATTGTCTGACCAATTTACAAAGTAATCGGAGATTTTGATCGATGGAAATTAAAGTCTACAAAATAAATCTTGGAAAGAAAGCACGTACGATCGAAGGTTATTGCTGACCACGGAAATAATTTTTTTTATTTACAACTTGACCATGACTGTTTAGATGTTTTGATGATTTAAACATTTCAGAAATGTGTTAAAAAAAGAAATGTTAAGCTAAACTTGAACAAAGAAAAAAATTGAAAAAAACTAAAGAATAAGTAAAATAATTCCTTACCAAAAAAGAAAACATATTAGCTTTAAAATAAAACTAAAAAAGCTAAAATTAAAAAACTAACAAGGTAAAATTACTTTTTGTTACGTTTTCAATGGCATTTGGAAAGAATTACTTTCAAACTTATCTTTTAAAACATTTAAATAAAGTTACGCTAAACGCTTTTACAAATTACCTTTAATTATTGATTATTGATGTATAAATGACACAAATAAATTTAAATTATTGAAAAGTGAAATTAAATTATTGAAAAGAAAAAAATGTTTGGAGTTGTATAAGCATTTATTTCAATAAGTTGCAAAAAAAATATTGTTTAAAAAAATAATTTAGTCTTTTTAAAATCATAATTTTTCAATCATTTCATTAATTAGTAAACCAAGTTAAAAAAACTTTTAAACAATTTTTTGTAATAATAGGAAAAAAAAAAATATTAGGCAATTAAAATGCTAGGAAGATTTAATTTAACTTATTCATAAATTAAAGTAACTTAAAAAAAATACTCTTTTAAAAGATTTTAAGAAAGACATGGAAAAATAGTTTCAAATGTTTGAATTTATTATAAAAAATACCTACTAAAAAAATAATTATGTATAACGTTTAATGTATACATAATGTGTTTACTTTAAACAATCATTATAATTAATTTTTGATTATATTTAAAGCCTTATTGTAAAATAAAAACTTTAAAAAAGATCATTTGTTAAAAGTTATTCGTAAAGTAACGATTTTTTTAAAATTGTATTTTAATTGTTAAAACATCAAAACAGCCATTGTTAAATTGTGAAGGAAAAAAACATTGTCAGTTACAGCATAAAAATTTAAGTCAAAAAACATACAATATTTTATTATCTTCTTTCTCTTGACATTTCTAAAGCGTTTGATAAAGTTTGGCATGCTGGTCTTCTCCATAAGCTTTCTTCTTACGGTGTATCTGGAAACATCTTTAAGATTATTGCATCCATCCTTTCCAATCATAGTTTAAAAGTTGTCCTCGATGGACAGCACTCTTCTTCTTATTCTGTAACCTAAGGGGTTCCTCAAGGTTCAATCCTTGGCCCTATACTCTTTTTAATTTACATTAACGATCTTCCAGATATTCTCACTTCTAAGGTGGCATTGTTCACTGATGATACTACCATTTATTCTTGTCACCATAAGAAGCCAACTCCCTCTGATTACTTGCAGGGGGCATTTGAGCTTGAAAAGGATCTCACTTCTGCTACAGCATGGGGCTCACAGTGGCTGGTGAACTTTAACTCAGATAAAATTCAATTTTTTTCAGCCAATCATTATCGCAATAATTTAGACCTTCCTATATTTATGAACGGTAATGTACTCGATGAGCCATCTACCCTTCATCTTCTAGGATTAACTCTCACTTCTGATCTTTCTTGGAAACCTTATATCAAATCCATTGCAAAATTAGCATCTGCTAAAGTTGCATCTCTTTATCGAGCTCAACACTTTCTTACTCTGGATTCTATTCTCTATCTCTATAAATCTCAAATCCGACCTTGTATGGAATACTGTTGCCATATCTGGGGCGGATCTTATGATGCCCTTTCTTTTTTAGACAAGGTGCAAAAATGCATTGTAAACATAGTTGGACCTGCTCTTGCAGCCAACCTTCAACCTTTGTCACATCGTCATAATGTTGCTTCTCTTTCTCTTTTCTACAAATACTATAATGGGCACTGCTCTACAGAGCTAGGGTCTCTTGTGCCACCTACTATAATTCATTCTTGTGTTACTCGTCATTCAATTAAGTCTCATGCTTTTTCTGTTACTGTTCCTAAGTGCTCCAAAAACTCTAATTTGTCTAGTTTTTTTCCTTGAACATCAGTTCTTTGGAATTCGCTTCCTTCATCTTGCTTTCCTGATTCATATAACTTGCAATCTTTTAAGTCGTCTGTCAATCGTTATCTTGTTCTACAACCTTCATCTTTTCTCTTCCAGTAACTTCCAACACTAATTAATGGTTGCTTGCAGCCTTGTTAGAAGCAAAGATTTGTTGTTCTTTTTTTTTTTTTTTTTTTAAAAAAAAAAAAAAAAGGACAACAGCAAAACCAAAAATGCAACCAAATTAGTAACGACTTCAAAGATATCAATCAGCAAATCAGCATCCATTTGTTATTTATACTTTAAGGTAACTATGTCTTAAAACTTAATATTTAAAATAGACAGTGCTGTCAAAATATATTTATAAAAAAAAATATTAACTTTAAATTAAACTGGTCTATGCTAAAAACTGTAAAATAAAACATTTTATTAACTTAAAAAAAAAGATAAAAAAAAGATGAAATTAAGGAGAGCAATTAAATTTTAACTTTTTTTAAGGTTATTAAGCACTTTTAAGGAGGTTTTTATTTTTAAGGATACTTAAGGTTTTTAAGGAAGAGTGGGAACCCTGTATACACATATATACAGTAGTGTATTAAAAAGAGGTGCTAGACATCTGAACCCCCAGACCATCTTTAAGATCTGCAAGGGAAACTGCCTTGTGTATATGATGACTTAATTATTTAAAATTGTCAATAAATTAATTATCTAATTAGTTTTTTCATTATAATAACTCTACAATTTTTCAAAAATGTTTTGAGCTATTGTAGAAAATAAAAACTTATTTATTTGGATTCTAATTCTTACCTCATCTGGAATTCGTAAATATTTAATTGTGCTACCACGAATATAACATTGAGACATCCTCCAAAATCTGTCACCATCCTATGAAAAAATATATATATTTAGAAGAATAAATCATGTAAACAAAAATTATTGTAAATAAAAATAGACAGAATTTTTAAAATTGTTGTAAATGAATATAGACAGATTGACATATTAAAGCATTAGGTAGGTGACTGAAAAAAGCATTAGGCCAGTATAGCCATAGATTATCCAGGTCATATTTTGAAAATCCGGAAAATTGTTTGGTTAAAATATCCAGAAAAACTCTTAAATATTTCCCCTTATTTTTCGCTTAATTTTGCTTTTGACTGAGTTGCGTCCAATTTTTTTTTCAAACTTTTCTTAATTTTTGTATGAGTGGTAAGTGAAAAAACCTAAAAAAACAAATTTATTACACAATTATACACCTAAATTCGTACACATTTCGAATATACAGAAAAACTAAAAGTTGAGAAAAATATCCAGAATTTTGGAAATATCTGGGAAAAAAAAATCCATGAGTAAAGCTTAGGAAGACAACATGCAGAAAACAGTGTTTACATCTAAAGAAAAATATTAATCCACCTATTTATATTAGCACCTTTTGAATATATTATATAATTCACCTGATAATATTTAGTACAATTTAACAGAATGAGCACCACAAATCAATAAATACTATGAAACAAGAACTTTATTATTTGGCTTGAGATTTTCAAAGAAAGGAACAAAACAAAAGTATATATTAAATTGTTGATTAAAAGTTATGTAAAATTATGAATTAATTAAAGTTAATTAATTTAAAATTCAATAAATAATTTAAAATTATTAATTTTGTTTTATGAGTTATATGATTAAATAAGATTTAGTTAATTGCATCAAGTCATTCTAACACAACAAGACATAATACAATTTCAGGTTCAAGTCAGGATCAACATAATCACCTACTGTTGATTACTGTTACTATTGGATACTGTTGCTACTGTTACTGGCAACATGTAATCAAATACAACTTGTCACATATCCAGGTGCCTTGTAGACCTCTCTGTTTTAGACAAACATTAGGAGTTGTTAACTTTAACATTAAATACTCTTTAAGAGTAAGCAAAAAATTTCTGGTGACTAGCACACCCTATTATCTATTAGGCTTGCATAAATGTTTTCTACCTAGAAACTCTATTTTACTCATGGTTTTATTAATTTTACTTAAGACTTTTTGGTGTTGTTTCTTTGGCAGTGGTTATGCAACTCTTTCTAATGAGAGTAGAGGCTGTATTATTAGTGAAATGTTGTGGATGGATGATATCCTTGTTAATGATTCTGATGCACATTGCCAAAGCAACTCAAATAGTCCTTTTTATACCTTGGGTTTGATTAGAGAGAATAAACCAACAGTATAGACTTATGTTTATGTTGTCAAGTACTCTTCATGCTTGATCAAGTTATCATAACATTATTAGCACAATTTACATTTTTAAGACTCTCTTTCTAGACTTTTTCTAAACAAAATATATGTTCTTAAAAATCATGTAGTCTTGAAACAGGCAATGCAAGACAACAAGCAAGTTTAATTATTTAAAAACTTTTGGATTGTTTACATTTTGCTTTTCTATTTTCTTGAAAATGTGTGAAATGTGTCTTTTTCTTTTGTTAGAAGCTTCAAAAAGATTTTTCAGTATTTTTTACTAGTTTTTGTTTTAGCAGTTGTTTTTTTTTGTTCTTTATTTTGTTGTTTTATTTTTTTGTTTTATATTTTAGCACTTAATTAACAAAGATAACTTTGTAAATTTTAACTTTTATTTTTAAATATAGTTTTTGAGAGCATATTTTATTTGTTTTAAACATTAAAATTTGTATAACTCTTTTATTATTTAAAAAATTGTTATTAAGATGAATGACTGCTGTTTTATTTATTACTTTTACTTCATTTATTTACGACATCAGTTAACTAACTTAAATAAAAAGCTATTTTTTTTCTAAAATTTCTTAATAATTTACTATAACTATATGTTATTAACTTTTGCACTCAGAGACTTCATGTTAGTATTAAAAATATAGATAAATTTAAGTGCTAGATATACCACAAGTGCCATAATATTCTGTTTTTGGTCCAATTTTGTTTCTCATCTATAATAATTACCTTTCAATAATAATTATCTCTCTAATTAATTTGTTAATAATACAGATCCAGTACTCTAGTCTTGAAAAAAAAAGTTTTTTTCAATTGCTAGGTGCTGATCGCACCTAGGTGATGATCTTTTTCTGTGATAGATAAGAGTTAGTGGTAGCTGGTAAACTTTAACTCAAAACTACATTCAGGCTTTCACAGGAAGGCGTGCAATCGCACGTCTTTATGACCACGCAAAAAAATAATATGTTTTAACAATTTGACCACGGTTTTTGACATATTTTCAATTCCTTAGGGAAACAATTTTCAATTCTTTAGGGAATTGAAAATGGATGTATATATTAATAAACTAATTAAAAGTTTAATAAGCAAAAAGTTAACAAAATTTGTTTTTTATTTTAAAATTTAAAGTTTTAAACAGACTATTAAAACTTATCAAGCTGATTGTCAACAGCATGATTCAGAATAAAAAAAAATTATTAATACTGATCACCAAAAAGCTCATCGTCAAGGAATAAAATAAGATTCAGATAAAATTTTAAAGAATAAGAAAAAATAAATAAAGGAGTCCAAAAATATACTCAAAAAGATAACTTCTGCAAAAACAGTGAACTTCTCTACCTTCCTATTTGTTTAAACAAAATAATTCAAGAAAATCCAAAAAACATTGCCGAAAGAACCCACAAAAAATATTTTTTAGTTTTAGTCACTTTGCTGAATGAGTCATTCAACAAAAAAAACTACTCTCCCATTAAATGGCATGAATAATTCAGCTTTGTCTGAAGTAGAATTAGTCAAAAAAGTTCAGGGCTCGAATTAAGTGTATCACACCTTTGTGATTAGTATAAATATGCTTTTCACTTTTCGCACCTTCACTTTTCACACCTTCGTAATTAGATTTTTTCTTTAAAATTTTTTTTTTGCAATTTGTTTTTTTTGTTTTTTTTTTCTTTTCTTTCCTGACTTTTTTTTTAGCCATTCTTAAAAGTAATGTCTTAGGGGTCATAAAGTACATCACACTAAGTTTATCTTTTGAATAAATTAAATGAACTCTTGCACAAAGATTTTTATTTAACATAAACTATTTTTGAATTTGAATTATTTTAAATCTTTGAGTGAAAGCCAATAATGTTTTTCTCCCCCCTCTCCTAATGAGGAGAGGGGGGAGAAATAACTTTTTTTGCATTAATTTGAGCCCTAATTCTACTCCCAAGTTGACATTTTATTTTATTTATTATTTTATTATTTTACTGTCTTCAAATATATATAAGGACTTCATCAATAATTAGTAATTTTGTCAGTAATTGAAAATAGAAAAAAGATTAAGTTCTGTTTTGTAAAGTAATTGAACTAAATTCAATTACTTCTCTAATTAATTTGAATTAAATTCAATTACATCTCAGTAATTTAATTCAATTGCTGAGAATAATTGAATTGATTTAAAGATTAAGTTCATTATCTTTTTTTACTCCTAAATAAAAGCATACATGATCATTAAAGATGAAACACACTCTAAACATGATCATTTGATAATCGCAGTAGTGGTGTAGTGGCAGAGCGCTTGCTTCATAAGCGAGAGGTTCTGAGTTTGATCTCTACTATGTCGATGGTAGTACCACACTCAACTTGTTTCTCTGTGCAGCAGCCTTGTTTGTCAAGGCTCAATTAAGAAACCTCCTCATCTGTAGTGGCCTTCTTGGCATTAAGGAGGTGAATTAAAAAAAAAAAAAAATCAAGATTGGATAAACATAAACATTGTAAATTATTCCAGTAAACATTCAATGTATTGCAACAGTTAACGATGATTGTTTACTGTTGGCTAACATTGATAGCATGAGTTAATAATTTCTGAGATAAACATCTCTCAAAACTTTGTTTTAAATGATTGTTTCTGAACAAATGCAAAGATCTAAAGTTTTCCAGAAATTAGTGAACATCGTCGAACCACTTACATTTGAAACAAATTAGTACCAATGGCAGAAACCAGATAAAAAGCATTAAGCTATAATCAAAAAAGTTTAAAAAAATTGGAAGTGGTAAAGAATTGATTACTCATATTATGAGTATGAGAGAAAAATTATTAACTCATGCTGGTATCAAGTGTAACCAATCAAAATGTTTTAAATTGAGCATTACTAAATCCATCATGAATCCATTATTGAATATTGCTATTATTTAGGTTGATTATGCAGAACATAAGTGTTTTTTGTCAAAATGAGCCACAAGCTGCACTATGGACAAAATCTAATTTTTTTTTTCACTGCAGCAATCTGGTAAAAAAGTCTCCTTAAAGACCTCCTTACTCCGCTGGATCACATAAACCCTTCTTAATTGCAAATTTGGATAAGTTATTGAAGTTTATTTTATCTAATACCTTGGAAATTCACATTTTTAATGGTAATTTTTTTTGGTAATTTTTTGGTAATGGTAAATTTTTTTGGTAATCTTTTTAATGGCAATTCAATTTTAAATAAACAACTCAGTTCAAAAAGACAGTCCTGATAAGCACAACAATGCATCTTGAAAGGAAATTTAAGAAAATAACATTTTGTAATTTTTTTGCAGCAATATATAGTAAAAGAAATGTCAATGGTATTTTGGCTACTGTTAAGCGTTTAGCAAACAACAAAGAAAAGTCAGGAAATCCAAACAACAAATGATTTTGTTTTATGACATTAATGTCAAAGTTCATTTGTTATTTGTCAGAGGAGGAAAATTCAGCGCATAATTGGTGAAAGATATCTCTAAATTCCACTACTTTTATGTTGGTAAAGACTAGATCAAAGGGAAAAAACTTCACTGTAATATGTGTATCAAATATTTGAAATAAATAAATGAATGAAACAATTTTTCTTTAAAAGTATATTTTAAATTTGGTTAATATTTGTTTTAATAAAACAAATTATTTGTAAATGCAATTAAGAGGTTGTTC